GCCAATCACCCGATGTTAAAATAATTGGTACTTATCTGAGCCCTTAACTGCAGTTAAGCTTTTGGTGGAAATAGACTATAATGGTATATTGTTAGTGTTAGATTGTTGGGAGTTTTCATCGTGCAAAATATAAAAACTCCTTTTCTTTCTTAATTTTTTCAGTGGTACACACATATAAATTCCAGGCCGTATTTTTACTTAAATTGCTTAACTTAGTCCATTTTTATGCGATTGAACTAAATAAGGTTTGTTCGAAAATAACTTAACTTTTAGATAATTACTACATACTTGGCAACTTTCATAGACCTTTTTGAAATTAGCGATGGCCAAATTAAAAACAATTATGAAAAATTGGGGTTTCTTCAATTTTACGCGATGAAAACTCCCAGCAATCCTATTTAAGAACTTTGAATCTACTTTTCAAGCATGTAAGATTTTTAAAATCGTATAAAAAAGTCATCCCACTAATCATAATATTTTTTACCTAATTACATATCTATACGACTTCATAATTAAAATGGTGTAATTTTTGTTTCAGTCGGAGAACAAAGTGGGAAAGCAAATAGATCAGTTGCCAAACATATACCTGGTCCCAATCTGGAGCAATTAGGGCAGCGAGCATCTACTGCAGCCTCTGAGATAAGCAGGGCGCATCAGTTGGCAATGGAGAGAGGAGAGAAGCTTAATTTGCTGGAAGAGAGGGCTGAACGTATGGCCAACCAAGCTCAAGACTTCAGTGGAACAGCACATCAATTAATGCTTAAATATAAAGATAAAAAATGGTATCAGTTGTAAAAATCTATTTTAAGATCTAATTCTACCACAGTTATTGTAATATTGCTTTTATAACACTTTCTACTACATCAAGGTACACTTATTTAATTTCTGTTTTCAAATAGTAATGTTATTTATAAACTGTTTTTAATAAAAATTTAGACAAATAATCTCTCCTCTTATTCTACCAAAGGCAAGTTAAAATTTTCTACATAGATATTTTTTAATTAAGCAGCATGCTGATGTAAATATTTTCAATAGAACTAAAGTGCCGCAGCCAACGTTTAAAGTCGAACTATCGCCCAGTTCTAGTCATAATAAAGAAGTCCGATCCAGCCGATATATTTATGTACATATTAGAGGGCTGCATGAATTCATTCAAACTTCTAGCTAAACAGAGTACAGTAGATTTGAATATTTTACTTCACATAAAAAACACTCAGCGTAATTTGTAAGTTAAGTTTGTAATTTTGTAAGTTATGAATATACATTTTGTTTTAAATTTTCTACCTTCAAATGGAAGAATGTGAATGAATGAATGGAAAACATTCAAATCATTCAAACTCATTTCGGTAATACTACGTTCAAATTGACGAGCTAAACATGTTAAATGGGCTTGAACCAGTTAAATGAACAAAACATGTTCATAAACAAGTTAAATCGCATGCAATTGTTGTTGGAAAATTGAACCAGTTAAATCATTTAACTCGTTTGAAAACCAGTTCAGCGCAGAGTTGTATCAGAAAGCTTTCTGCTCCGACCAATCAGAAAGACCCAAAAGCTTTCATTTGACACGCCAACGTTCAAAAAATTTATATTCTGAAAAATATTAAAATTAAAAGTTATCAAAAAATATCAAAATTGTATGCATGTCTGGCCGCCAAAAAAGAGGCCAGGCGGTAATTAGTTATTTTCAATGAGGTCTCATCGTACGCAGAGATAAATAGTGCATACAAACTAAACATTTTGAAGTCTCTAAGTAATCCGTATGCGTTAATATCATGGTGCAGACATTCGCACAAAACAAATTGAAACACAAAAACTTGATTTTGAATATTTTCTCCGAATTGTTATTGGTAATCAAACAACCGTCAAAGTTAACTCCAAATGTTCAATGTGGACGAGTGTGTTTCCCAAAAAGCTCTATTTCATTTAACAAGTTAAATGGGGCCAATTTGAACGTAATATAAAAGTTTTTTTCTACAAACAAGTTTTTTCGTATGAAATAGGAACGCAGCAATACATACATACTACATATGTATGTTTGTACATATGTGCATAGAAAAAATATTTTTGGATATTCATACAAAAAATTGTCATTTATTTCAAATCAATTTATTTTCATTTTGTTTGAATATTGTAATGTCGACACAAATATCAGAACAGCTATTCCTCAAATTCAGAAAAAATTAAAGCCAAAATCATTCATTCGTTTTGTATATGAATAATTCATAAGCCGTTTTGAATGCATTCATGCAGCCCTCTAGTACATATGTATAACTTAAAATATCTGCTCCATCGTAGAATTATCGTTGAAGAGCTACATACAAGAACTGACCCGGTTCAATATACCAACAGCCAAGTAGCAAAAAATTTAGTAACTGTGAAGGCACTCAACTCATTAAGGTTTATAGGTACAAAAATAGCTAATCCAAAAAAAAATTATTTTACATGAGAAGCCCCAGACGGCGAATATTTCAGCAAGCACCAACATACTCGAGAGAAAAGCAAAAAAAAAAAAACAAAATCACTTCAATGTACATATCGCACAACTAGATCTAAAGTGCGATAAACTCAAAAAAATTTTGGACGATCTTTTTGCATAAATCAATTCATAGGACTCCAATAGGATCCAATTAATGGAAATATTTTTTCTTCATGATTATATAGATTAACCAAAAAACTACTGTTATACCTGTTTTTGCATTAATTGAGTACGATCCACAAGCAGTTCTATTTCCCTCACTGAATTTTGAGTTAACTCACTTTAGATCTAGGTGTGCGATATGTCCAAAATGATTTTTTTTTATATTTATTTAAGAAAACATTTGAACAACTTAAGGGCTGTTTGGAGCTCTCAAGAAGAATGAAAAATTCATATAAAATGACGCACAAGAAATGGAAAAGAAATTTTCTTCTTTCAAAACTTCTTAAATCTGTTTACAGCTCTCAGAGAAAAGCTCGAATATTTATTTCTTCAAGAAAATTTACAGAAAAAGCAGAGTACTTTTTCAACCAACAGAAATAATGAAAAATACTCCTTGCGATTTTTCTTGAGAGCTGGAAACTTCGAGACGAAGCCAGTATTTTAAAGGTACATCAATTTAAATCAAATACAATTGGGAGTCAAAATATGTAACCACTTCTACCATCACTTCTGCCATTTTTTTCAAAATTATTGTTGCTTTCCACAATAATTTTCCATTAAAAACGGCCTCAAGCTCAATAAAAATTGTTGAATATAATTGTTATAAGGCCATAACATAACAAAAACAAATTTTTAAAATTTTAATTATTTGTTTAGTTTATTCCTTAACAAAAACTGTATGAAAGTAAGTTTAAATCTTGGAACAACATAAAAAAAAATTACAAGCTTTCGTAAAAAATTCGAGCTTTCTTTTAAATTTTATTTTTTTTAAATTTGGCAGTTTTTTATCTCATTCAATTTTAGTATAATAAAGTGCAAGTTTAAAGTAGCTGAGATTTACCGTTGATGTGTGGTATTTTTTGACGATGTCGGTCATTTTCTTCCATATAATCTAAGTATGCTCCACGATTTCTTTAATGAAGAAAATGAGCAACACCTCCATCAAAAAAAAAATAAATATTAAAAATCATCGATAAGTCGCAACTATTTTAAGCTTGCACTTTATTTAAATTGGTCGGGCTACAAAACTGCACACCCAAAATATGTATTTCTAGGAAATTTAATTAAAAAGGTCGAAATTTTTACGAAAGTTGGTTGATTTATTTAATGTTTCGCAACGATTGAACCTTGGATTTATACGGGTTTAGTTAAAGTATAAACTGCCAATCTTGTCAATATGTGCGTGTCGTAATGTTTTGATAAGCACTTGAAATACTATTAAAATGTCAAGTTTTAGTACTGAATTCAAAGAAGAGGTCTCTTTTATCCACTGTACTAAGTACAGTTTTTGTATAGATTTCGTACTGAAGGAACAATTTTATGTCCTAACACTGCGCCACATACGGGCGCCACCATAAACAAGTGTGAGCTAAAAGTGAGAGTGTGTTTGTGTGCCTTCGCTTGCTGTCGCTTTCTCGTCGTTTGTAACGGGTGATTTTTTTGAGGTTAGGATTTTCATGCATTAGTATTTGACAGATCACGTGGGATTTCAGACATGGTGTCAAAGAGAAAGATGCTCAGTATGCTTTGACATTTCATCATGAATAGACTTACTAACGAGCAACGCTTGCAAATCATTGAATTTTATTACCAAAATCAGTGTTCGGTTCGAAATGTGTTTCGCAAACCCAATTGCTGCGAACGGCGACGAATCGACATTTCACGGTCTTCAGCAACACTCTCAGAAACAGACGCAATATTCTCTTCTGTACGCACTGTACGCATTCGTGTGGTTGGTTTAATGTCCAATAAAGTAAACTGAGTGCGAAACTTGGTCACAATCGCATTAATTGTTTGCTCACTTGGTCGATTATGTAGACCATAAATCGGACGCGCGAAACACATTTCGAACCGAACACTGATTTTGGTAATAAAATTCAATGATTTGCAAGCGTTGCTCGTTAGTAAGTCTATTCATGATGAAATGTCAAAGCATACTGAGCATCTTTCTCTTTGACACCATGTCTGAAATCCCACGTGATCTGTCAAATACTAATGCATGAAAATCCTAACCTCAAAAAAATCACCCGTTACATGTTTTGTTGCTATAAAATACTAAAATCACTAAAAAGAATATTATGAATTTTTTGGAAAAAGGGGCGTGACCCCGCCCACTTATGATGAAGTGCTGTATCTCAGTAGCCGCTTCACCAATCTTTACCAAACCTGAACCTTGCTTAGGGTCCAACTAAGAAATCTGTTGAAAATCTTTGAAATCGGGCAATAACCATGCCCACCTCCCATATAACGGTAATTTACAGAAACACGAAAACTGCGATAAATCAGTAATTATTGAAGCTAATTCACTCAAAATCGATGATTCCAATAATCACTTAGCAGAAAATTTGATTACTATAAATTTTTGGATAATGGGCGTGGCGCCGCCTACTTATGCCCGCAAATGTGTATCTTGGTAACCGATTCATCAAATTCAACCAAAATTGGTGCACCATATAACCTTGGTAAGGAAAATCAATTTGTTGAAAATAATTCAAATCGGACTAAAATTACACCCCCTTCCTACGAAAACTCCTATATTTCAAAAGCTGAGGACACTAATTTACTCCAATTTAATACTTACACCAATCTCTTAATAATAAGTAAGACTGTTATAGACTTTTATGACTACAAAGTCTATCTCGGTAACCGCTATATCGATTTCTACCAAACTTGGTTCAATGATTTCATTCAGTCAGCATATTATCGAAAACGTTTGAAAACGGGAAAACACCCCTGCTTATCATGCAAAGGTAGTTGAGAGAAAGTTGAAACGACCATATTTGATACCTGCCCCGGGAATATAAAGTTCGATTTCGCCCGAAACTTATACTTCCTTAATATAATAATAATAGATTGGCGTGCGGCTTGATGTTGTCACACAAAGAGGAGGGACCTACAGTTTTACGCCGACTCCGAACGGCGATTGTATTTTAATGAGAAGCTGTTTTTCATGACAGAAATACACTCGGAGGTTTGCCATTGCCTACCGAAGGGCGACCGCTGTTAAGAAAAAACCTTTTTTCAAAATTTTTTGCGATGTTGCTTTGACCAGGGCTTGAACCCAGGTGCTGCGGAGTGGAAGCGTGCACTGCTTACCACTACACCACAGCGGTTCCTTTATACTTCTTTACTTGTTCATAATT